CTGTTCTAGCTAATGAGAAAACCTGTTTGCTAGTTATTTGATAGATATTTTATTAGATCACTACATTTTGGTTATCATTTTAAAAAGCTCTGATGTGATCTTTCAGAGATAGTAGCCTAATGTAATATGATGTAGATATGTAATGTAATTTGAAGATTTTACTGACATGCAGCTGATACAGATTGACAAAACTGATGAAATCTGAATGGTTTCAGAGTTTAAAATGAGGCTCTAGAAATGATTTTGCAATCATACCTCATTTGCTGCCAATTTTTTACTCAAAACTGTATTCAAACAGAATAGTAGCAATTTATTAAATGTCTTTCTTAATTAAATTTCAGTGGCATTTACTATGTCCTGTACTATGTTACTCCTGTATTTTACATATTTAATGTCACAGTAGCAAAGTGAATGATTAGATTATGACTAAAATAAAGTACAATTGTTGTATATTATAATATACTGTATATTATGTAATATTTCTATTTTAAGCACTTTGTGTATTGTACGAGTAGCAAGAGCATGTTGTTTTGCTATAATACAGTTTGAAGATCAGCCTGGTTATGGAAGTACACATTTATGAAATTGTAAAGCAGACCGACTGCCAGCTGACATTTTAAAATGCCTAAAAATAATTTTTTAATAAACAGATAATGCCATTTGACTAACAACTGAAGATAGAATATAGTTATTAAATGGTCATGTCAAAAAAAGACTCATAAAATCATGATTGATGTCATAAAAAATGAGCACTATGGCCAGTGTGACTTATGTTATTATGAATGTATAAAAAATGACAGTATTGTATTGAATAGTGTGAGGTGAGGTAGAGCAGAGAGCTCGGGTGTGTAGGGCTCGACTGGGGGATGCTGCGATGTTAAGCTGACGTGGCTCCTGGCAGGTCTCGGCCCCGGTGCAGGAGTATTACTGGCACTTGAGAGTTTTTGGGAGAATGTGATCTTAGGCAGGAAAGTGGTCTTTTGATTGAGGTACAGAAAAATAGCCTCTGACCTCTGTTTTTATTGCGTTCTCATTACATTTGTCCGTGTCCGAGGATAGAGGCTTCTAGAGGACTTCTGTTTCTGCAAAATTACATTGCAGTAGTTTTAATGCTTGTTATTGAGTAATTAAATACAGTAGTTAAAAAACTCAGTGCATTGATAATATGAAGAATGTAAGTGAGAACTGAAGGTAGTCATTGTCTCATGCACTGGACACATGTTATCTTCAGTGAAATACTGATTCCCTGTGCATTCTCAATGTGATCGTTCATTTTTTACTTTTTGCATTTTCTCAGCAAAGAATTCAGATTTATGTTTGAAAGACTAGCCATCCTTTTTAAAAAGATTTCCTCTCCTCTTTCTTCGTTCCCCTTTTTTTTCTGCTGCATGAGAGTTTGTGCCAGGCAGAGCAGAATGCCAGCTTCAGGGAAGGAGTCCCATGCAGGAGGACACTGCAGGAGTGAACTGCACTTTAGTGTTGCTTTCACAGACTATCAAGCTCTTTCACACTAGTGCCTAATTTCATCTTCACTCAGTGTGGGTTATTTAGTTGCCTGGATAAGTGCTGAACAGGGTAAGTTAACTTTTTAAGTATTCTGATTTGTCTACTTGCACTTTAAAAAATCAGTTTTCTATTTGTAAGACATCAAGCCTCTCAGTTGATTACCGATCAAAATCCCTCTTGTCGAAATCCCCCTTATTTACAAAATGCGTAAAACTTCATAACACATCTTGCAAGAATTTGTCTGTCTAATTCATTTCCAAAAGCAGATTATTAATCCTGTTTTAATTTTTTTATTTTAAGAGAGAGAACATAAAAGTTTGCACTCCAAGTCATGCTTGTGCTTAACATCATTTTAATGCCATAAGTAATTTCAGGACCCCTACACAAATTAATTTACTCCTAGTTTTAAAACTAAAATCCTCATCTGCCTGAATACCCATCATGTGCTGTTTTGACCATTTTCTCAGTGTGTCATTGACAGAAGACCCAATTTATGTGAGATCTCAAAAGAATTCTCTACAACAAAAAAATGTTGACAGTATTTATTTATGTGATGAAATTATGCTATTTCTATCCATCTTACGATCAAGCATATTTTTTTTCAGAGGTTACAAAATGTACAAGATGAGCAATATGTAGCAAAATAATACATCTGTGCGGTTGTTTTATTTTATCCATAAAGAAACACATTTTGTCACTTGGTAAAATATTTTGCAAAGAATTAATAAGAAAATGACTCGTACACTAATGTTTTACACCTGCAGGAAATTTATGTATTTTATCAGTTACTGATTATGTGAATGATGGATGTAATTTTTTATGGATATCTAATATATTCCAACATATGACATTTTTATGGGATTTTCTTCATGTATGGACTTGAAGCTGAAGTTTGGATGGAGATGTACTTGCTTGAAAAAAATACAGGTTTTGACACTATGTTTTATAGTGTCAAGATAAAACCTCTTCATATAAATGCATGGATTATTTTGTGCAGAAAAGCAAAAAAAACGAAAAAAATAGATGCTTTGAATTGGAAGCAGTTTAATCATTGTACAACATATACATATTCATTATAATTTATACATTTGTCAAGTACTGGGACAAATTATTTCAGTATGATTGTTGAATTAGTATGAAAACTCATTTTATAGGAATTTAGTCCCTTAAAAATGTCTCTTAGAAATTGTGCTCTATTTCTTGAAGAAATGTTTTATCACATCGGAATTGTTTTATCAATATGAAAAGCACCAGCACCAGCAACAATATTTTCTGTGTTTGTATGGTATGTAATGATATAATGATAAAGTACAGCCATGTGCTTTTGAAATATTACTTTTAGTATGTTTTAGTTCAAAGAATTATGTTTCATGATATTGTGAATGGAATTACTTTCCTTCTCTTTACACACACCATAAAATTCTAGAATGAACAAAAACTGTTCCACATAGATGTTGCACATGCATATCTTGAGTAATGCGAATGTTACAGTTTTTGGAGCATTTGGTTGTTATTCTTATATTTAAGTAATGCTTAATTAACACAGTTATTCAATCTGATATGACACAACAGAAAATAAATTTGTCAAGCATGATGTTATGCTGCTGTGATAAATATATAATGAGTAGGTCATAATTTCATACAGAGTTCATCATTTTTACACAGTAGTTGAATGTAATGGTACAATTCATAATAATCTAAATATATCTCTAAATCTTCTAAAACGAATAAACCTGTGTCCTCAGCTGCATATAGATTTTTTTATAAGCACTTTATTTTCTTTTGTAAGTTCCCAGGAATAAAATAAAATCTCAGGCTGCAAACTGAGAAAAACTTAACTTATTTGAGCTTATTATGCCTTTAAAAAAGCACCATATTTTACTTATTTATTTCTGCGTTCTTAGCAGTAAATCAGCGGGACTGCGCCTATGGTGTGTTTAAATTACACTGGGTGCGAGAGTGACCTGTTAGTGCGTAAGTATGTGTGTGTCTGTGTGCCTGTGTGTGTGTGTGTGTGTGGCGGGAGGGAGTGAGAACATGGTCATGCTTGGTTGACTCTAAGGGTCGCAGGTCAATGCTTGTTAATAAGAAGTGCTGTCAGGGGTCTCGGAGGTCATCCCCCAGGGGCTGACCCTCTTGTCTGCAACACTTAATGTGTGCAGTCTTTACCTTGTCAAATCAAACAAGCACCCCAGCCTTTCAATGGGCTCTGAACAGCCCCCTGAGTAACACTTTTGACCCAGGGGTCATGACCTTCCCGTCTCACCCAGTGGGGAGTAATGGAGCAGTCCTTTAGGCACGTGCAAAGGTTAGAGGTCAGACTATCTGAAAAGGCCTGGGTCGACCTTTTTCCTAGAAGTCGGGATGGCATCCGTTACGGCGGAGCTCGAGGAAACTGGAGTGATTGATAGTTGGACTGTGAAAAATTAATAAAGATGTTGTTATACATATGAAGGGTTTTGTAGTAAAGCACACTATTGTAGACCAAATGCTTTTTTCATGATATACATTGTTGGGAGTGGACTTTACATATAAGAATATAATGTATAACTATATTCTATATTAACACAATAATTAAAATCATTCTTATTAGAGCAGTGAAAAAGTATTTTCCCGAGTCAGCAGTTTTCACAAAAAAATATACACACACACACACCATTTTGTATTTGTTTTTCTACATAATTTGCAAATACTAGCTTTTCTTTACATTGTTTCAAATTTTTGTGATGATTGGAATAATCTAAATGGTCCAAAATTACTTGGAATAAATCATTTCTTTATTAACTTCCATTAAAAGTTATAATGTATTTTCCTTCTCCTATAAAGTTGCTGTTTTGTAGATACTATATATGATTAGGTCTACAGGAGAATGCTTTCCTGTTTGCATGTGAGACTAGATAGTAATGCTCTGCTCACACAGCACACAGGCTACTCAGGTGTTTGGCCGTTTGTTTCAAAAGCTTTATCGAGCGCTCGCTGTTGCTGTGCAGACTGACAATGTTCAGTCCAACATAGCGTGTCTCAGGCTGACGTTCAGATCTTGTCTTCTGAAATTCACTTGCTAAAGAGATGCTCAGGTGGAGAACTGCAGAGTGAAAAGATTTGGGCAGTTCAGGTCTGTATATGGTTCTATTATTATACACACAGAGGGAAAAAATGTGACTGTTTGAAAAATGTGAATGTTTTATCAATTGAGATAACACACTTCAGATGTATAAATACATTTTTTAGACTTTTGATATATCTTAGTCTTTTAAGCTGTGTATATACTTAAATGCTTTTAATTGAGTTACTGGAAAATTACAGTGTTAAAAGTAAAATGAAATAAACTGAGAACATTAACTTCAGCTACCTCTGAAATTCTATATCTGTTGCCAGACTTGGTTAAACCAGTGGCATGCAGTATAACCAGTTTTACTGAATTTCTAACACCCGTGGGTACAATACTGTTACCTAACTTTAGAAAACAATAGTATTACAAAAGAAAAGGAAAACACACAGACGTTGTTCCAGAGCTTTATTTGATAGAAAATTGCAGTACATTCAGCGTTGTCGTTTTTCTTAATGACAGTAAAGGGTTAGCCGACTGTGTTTGTGAGATGGCGGTAGCGGCCATTTTGTGTTATACATTGCCTGAGTGTGGGAGACTGGATTGGTTTGAATGCTTATGAGTGAACAGAGAGAGTGCATTTGTCCACTGCAGTGTACGTAGCTGTAGGTGAAAGCACAGTGCTGATACTGCACGTCAGTGTAATCAGTATTCTGAAGGAAAGATTGTGAATGTTGATGATCTCTGGCCTAGTTAAAGCCCAAACTCTCTGCTCTGCATGTTGAGAAATCTGTGTAGAATTAGCATTAGCAATTAGCTAATTCTGAACATTCTTTTCTTCTGCTTCATTGTATCCCTGTTTATCCTGTAATTGCATTTAGGCTTGATGGAGGAGTGTGAATAAATGCACATGCTACAGTACACATTACACAAGCTTCACGTTAGACGAGTAGCTTTGTTTTTCGGAGCGTCGTTAACGAACGTTTGAATACAAACGCTAACCAGTGCAGCTAATGCAATAAGTATTTAGATGTGCCAGGCTATGTTGAAGCTCAGGATGTTAGTAGTTGGCTGGCAGTGTGTGAGCAGAAGCGTGTCCTCAGGTGACCCTTGCGCAAGGCACCATGCAACATATGTGTGTATTGGAAATATGCAATTAAATATATATACGTATATTTTATCTGCCCCCTAGAAAATCGGGCTGCAGATTGGTTAGGAGCTGTGGCGAGATGTGACGTAGAGAGAACCCCTTCACCGACTGGGTCACTACTTGTCTCTCAAAAGCACACGCTGTTGTAGAACATTATGGTTCAACGCCATTCCGGAAAGCAAGGTGATCTGCATGGGGCTTTAGCCGGTTCTCTTTTACTGTTCTGTTTGGTAGCATGGGCTAAATCCTCAGACGCTGCCCCCCAAGTATGTGGCTGGGTTGAATTGAGAGCCTGTGTGTGTGTGTATAGTGTGTGAGGACAGACACGAAGCAGCCTTCCGAACCGAAGTCAGTCCAGAAGGGATCGGGTGCGCCCCCACAGTCCTATACACACAAATACACAGCACAGCCAGCTACAGTAGCAGCCATGTTAGAATCCACTGAAACAGGGCATTTACAGTCTGCATCTAGTCGCTACAGGAAGAAAAGCAAAAGTAAGTTTCCCCCACCTTTTTCTTTAAAATCTCTCCGATTCAGGCTCATCAGATCTTGATCACTGAGATGAGAAATGCACATAAAAACACATATCACAGAAGTCCACTAAAGCGGGTAGAGAGTTTTACCGTCTGCTGTCTTTGCCCTTCTCTCTCTCCACTCCCATTACTTTAGCAGGAGAGAGGGGGCAATAGAACGAGAGCTAGCGAGAAGGGAGGGGGGAAAAAAAAGTTCGAGCACTGAGTCCAGCCGGGTTTTCTGGAGTGAGTGGCATATAAGGCAAGAAGTTTAGTTTTAGAATTTTTTAATTATTTTTTGCATTTTTCTGTTTGGGTCACAATAGCGTTACAGTAATCGACCCCAAGGAGAACCAACTGTCAGTCACAGTGAAAAGGAAGGAAGGTGGCGAGAGACACTGAGAAAAAGGGAGGGACAGAAAGATAGCATTGAAGGAGGAGAGCAAAGGAAACTTCGATAAGGCATGAATATGCAAGGCTTGTTCTGCGGCGCTCTAGAAAGGTGTGGTTCTAGTTCAGATATTTTTGGCGTTTTTTTGGCTTGCTCTCTCTATCATTGTAGCAGGGCGGGATTTGAGTGGGTGGGGTGGATGGATGGAAGCGTAGGGGATTAAGTGAGGGGAAAAAAGAGAGAGGGCACGTGAGGGAAGCAGTGTGGAAGAGGAGGAGCCTAGCTTTTCTGATGCAGTTTCATTGGCTGGGAGTATGAATTTGGGCAATGCTAAAATTCACAGGATATGTTTGAATGTTTTGCAGCTACTCTAAAAAGGACCAAAGAGACCCATTTACTTGGAAGTAGTCGCAGCAGAACAAAGTGCAAAGTGCCAGAACAAAGTTCTTGTACTAGCGGTGTTTAACTACAGGTTTGTGCACAGGCAGATAGTTACTGGTTTTCTTTCAAATATGTAGCTCTCTATCTCGTTCTGTCTCTGTGTTTGGTGGGATTATGCCTGCACGGAGCTCCAGAATGGCGTGAGAGTGCATACAGAGTCTGCGCGCTGGGGGAGGAGTGGATTGTATGTCACACTCACTCCCTCGCTCCCTCCCTCTTTCTCTATCTCTTTACTCCTCCCGCCCTGGATTTGCTGCTTTTCCACCCTCCCACTCTCTCTCTCTCTCAAGTGCAAGACCATGTGGGACGTATGATGAGAAAGAGGCTCACCACACCGAGTCTCATATTTCAACATTAGTCAGCCTCTCTCTCTCTCTTTCGCTCACTCGCTTTCTCCTGCTCTCTCTCGCTCTGTTTCCTCACATGCTCCCCTCATTTCCTCCACTTACTCCTCTCTTTAAGCTGTTCGCAAGGGGGAGACTGGCTGAAGCTCAGCAGAGAAAGCGAGGCAGGGAGGAAAAGGGAGGGAGGGGAAAAAAAGAGGCAGGAAAAAAGAAAAAAAAAACGTCGGCTGCTTTTTCTGCTGCTGCGAGGGCCTCCCCACCGGCGGGCCCAGCCAGAGAGGGAGGGCTTCTAGCTCTCCTAAGAGGATTTAACCCTCTGTCTGCAGCAGCGCGCTGCACTGCAGCCCACCCAAAACCCTGCCAACAAGTCACGCTTTCCAGCGCATTGCTTCGCTTTTTCATGCCCTAGCATTTGCACGTTGGACATTTTTGTTTTTGTTTTGTTTTGGACTTTATCGGTTGAATTTTTTAGCGCCGATTGTCCGTTGTAGTTTTCTGAGAGCGAATTCGAACTCTGCGGCTCACAGAGGGGATCTTTTTTTGGATGTAGACCTTCTGTAGGTAGGTTTTTTATCTGGCTGGTTGGCGGGCACTTCCATGCTTTGACCCAGGGTGGGCCTCCCCACACCGATTTAAGCTCGGCCATGGCACTCCTGGAGAAGCTAGAATTGAGCTGCTTTTGTTTCTCTGTGTCAAGGATAACGTTGCCTCAGCCTGCCAAATAGTGCCAGGTACATGTTTTTGGAAGTACTGCCCCACTGCTGCCCTCCTCTTTCCCTCTCTTTCGTTCCCTCTCTCTTTTCTCAATCCCATCAAGGCTAGTGGCGTGCAGGAGCTCTGTCTGGGACAGGTGCCAATTGCTCACAAAAGGCAGAAAAAAAATGGGCCACGGGACGGAAAGTGGCGCACAGATTTGTGCTGTGAAAATGTTACACAGGCGCTCGAGAAGGGGACGAGCAAGGAGGGGAGCGTGGTTCCCCTTCCGTGTGGCAGATTGTTGGTCTTTGCCCGAACAATTGCTCCCAGAACTCAAGCAAAAATTCTAATGCCATCTGGAACACACTTCGGAATACCACGTTTTTCCAAGCTGGGCCCAACTGATGGTTCAGAAACCGGGGGAAGACGGACGATAGAGAAAAGGCACGACTGAGAGACGCTGAGAGAGGGGAGGGGAAGGAGGAAAGAAGGAAAACGGAAGGAGGAGGAGGAGGAGGAGAAGAGGAGGGGGGGCCTTTTCCAGCCTGTTAAATGTTCCTCAGGCCCAGCCAAAGCGAAGGCAGGAGCTGCATGCTGATTTGCATGCAGCGGACATGCTAATTGTGTGTTTTCTAACATGCTCCATTCATTGGGACGAGGCTGCGCTCCGCAGACGGGCTTCACACACGCCTCCCAGACACCCTCGTGGCCTCCTATTGTTGCTGAGGCCCAGCCAGCCGCTTTAACCCAGCCAGCAGAGTCTATAGGCCTGGGCCCAGGCGCAGAGCAGAGCAGGGGGTTAGCCTGGAGCTCCGGGCTGCTGTGGAGAGAGAAGAGAGCAGGCAAACTCAGCCTGGACCCCCCTCTCTCCGGTGGAGCTGCTCCATCCTCTCCGGCCCTCCACAACGAAGAAGAAGAGGCAGAAAACGATTGGGCGAAAAGCTGAGAGGCCTGCCAAAATCTCAACTCGTCAGCACACACTTTTACAACATCAAGTGTTAAATTTGTGTAAGTTACGTTCGAAATTTTATTTATTTGGGTGAGTTTATGTGTGCGTATGCGTGTGTGTGAGCATGAATCTGTGTGTCTTTACCGCCGTTTTGGTATTACAGAATTTTTAGGATTGCTTTTGTGTGCGTGCCTTACTCAATATTTCCAACACAGCCATTTCTTTTCACGTATAGTATGTAGGATAGCGTATATATCTACGCTGTACAGATTAGGCTTTCTCTCATAATTAGTATCTCAGTTTTACTGTGCTATCTTGGATACCAGCATAGATCTCAAAAACACACCAGTGCTTCACTGCTTGAAACATTAGGATTAATCATTTCTAAAAAAAATCCAGTTGTCTCGCAGCTCACCTTTTGTAATAGGACTAAGTTCAAATTACATGAGTTTTATTTAATAATAATTTCAATTTTAAAACCTGGTAAGACATCATCATGACTGCATTTCGTACTTTGTCGGAATAATAATTTGGCATGTTAGCCAAATTGATGCCATTTCGCGTTGTATTTCTCTTTTTCGCCAAACAAATAAAGCATTTTCAATTTATACTCACTCAAGAAAAAAAGTGCTGTGTTTGTTGGTCTTTTAAGGCTTCCATTAAGAATTAAGCCAAATGTTCAGATATGAGTGAGCAGGTCTTTGAAAATTCAAACAGCACACCACTACAGTTTCTTTCCAGCAAATATTTTTCAAAATGGCGGCGTAATTCATTTCAAATGGATTCTGCTACCCACAAATATTTTCATTCCTCAGCAGAAGTGTGGATTGTCCTAAGGTGCAACATAAAACAGTATGTTTATAGTATTTGTAAGTCACTACTGTCCTACATTTTATAGTTTTTATTTTAGTAATATTTTTTCAGAGGGAATTCATTTAATATTTTTAAAACGTTGGAAATGTTTCCTTCCTTCAAACTGTCTGCTGTATTTTCATTTTGTTGTGCACAATAATTTTGTGCTTTTTTCCAGACACTGGCAATGCAAATATTTTTATGTAAGAAAAGGTAAATGTCTTTACATATATATATATATATATATATATATATATATATATATATATATATATATAAATATTTTTTTCACAGCTGCATATTTGTGTGTGTGTGTGTGTGTCTGCATTTCTTCACCTGCACTTGCCACTGCATTTGCTGACACATTTTATGCACCTCACTCTTTGCTGTTATGTGGCAGTGGATCACCAGAGCACTTACAAAGGGTACAATTCAAACAGTGATACCATTCTGTCAGCCTCTGTGTTTACCTCATAAAATATTTAAGGTATGTATGTGTGTGTGAGAGAGAGAAAGTGTGAATCACAGAGACACCACAGCTTTTGAGTTGAAGAGTATTATAACACTGCATCACAAATTTGTAATAAAAGATCATGCGCCGACAAATATGTTCATTTGAGCATATCAAAAAATAAATCACAACCTTTTATCTGGACACTAAGCTCAACCACAGACAAAAACACAAATAAACACCAGATTACAATGATGTGGTCCTGAATAGCAGGAGCCCCAGTGAAAAGTAGCTCCACCATTTTGATTCTGGTTTCTGGAAGCAAGATCTACTAGTTCAGGTTCAGATTCAAGTTCAAGTTCAAATGTTGTTAAGTTCTGCATTAGACTTCTGCCTATTAATTTATTTTTATCACATATGACTGTTTATATTTTTCTCTCTCTCTCTCACACACACACACACACACACACACACATGCATATGCATGTATTTACAACATTTGCATGCTATTCAAATAAAGGTATTTCACTCTGGTTATCCAGGTTCAAATATACAAATTTGTAGAGCGTTTGAAGTGAAATGTTAAATGATTTTAAACAGGTAAATGCACATAAAAACAGCCACAAGTTAATTTTTTAAGATAATTTTCTCTCGTTTGTTGAATATGGTTTAACCATCTCACAGTTTCTGTATAATGTTTTGGTTGTTTGTATGTTTCAGTGCAGTTTGTTTCAGTTGGAAAATTATAAAATTCTGCTTTGGCAGGTTGGTCCTTCATTTCTGTTGAAGCAAACAGTCTTATTTGTTGCAGTCACGAGGCCCCTGATTTGAAAGTTTGAGAGTGACATTATTAGGTGTTAGCCAGAAATTAATTAACAACATATGCTGTATTGTGAAGGTCAGTGTTCTTCTCTCGTTCTCTCTGTTTCTGTCTCTTTTACTTTCATTCTCTCTCTCTCACACACTCACACACACACACTCACACACACACACACACACACACACCCCAAATGAAGCTTAACAAAGAAAAACTATAGCAAAGAAATATATGACGTATAGCACAGATTTAACATTTATTTATTCATTTATTGGATTTAATGGATCTAATGTTGAAGTTCTATGCAAACTTTATTGCAAGTTTGATGGTGCAGAGATTGAATTTTTTCTTTTCTGGAGTTTAGATTGTGTGTGTGTGTGTGCATGTGCGCATGTGTGTGTTTCGTACCTATATTGACACAAATGTGTCAGATATGAAGCTAAAAATAAATAATGCTTTTTTAAATCTGTAAACCTATAATGCAAGCTGATTCGCGGCCTTTATTTTGTTTCCATAAAAATTTCTGTGTGTAAATACGACACTGGCCGTGTCCAGCATTGCATTTTTTGAAGTATCATCTATTATAGTGCTATAGTAAAATATGATTTTCTCTGTCCATGTAAAGTTCATGTCAGTAATGCTAAACTGTGTTCAGTAGATAAACTAAATGTGTGTACTTGTGTATGTTGTGTATGCCATCAGTATGGAATTTGTGCCAGTGGGTTTGATTTTTACCATGAAACTCATTAGTGTGCTCTTAATATAATATGCAGTTTCGAGAATTGAGTAAATTAATGTTTTTTCTTTTTATTGAGAGTTGGCATTTTTCCAGCTGGATATCTACAAATTAATATGTAATTATATTATATATATATATTATATATATATATATATATATATATATAATTTAAACTTTAGTGTGTTCTACTTATTTGCTCTGTGAATATTATTGGATATAGTTTGTCCACTTTTGGATTTTGTCGATTATCAGTAATTTAAAAGTCATATATTAAGAGGTTTACACTGTGTATAAATGGTAAAACTGAATAAAATGTAAGGGGCAAAAACTATTGAACGTAGGAGGTTCACCTGTAAAATTACAAAACAGTTTGCACATATTTGTATAAATCTCTGTGTTTTCTCTTATGTAAAATTCATTTTAACCGTAGTTGTGATTATTTAGATTCAAATAGAGTGATGCATTACAAATGACTGAAACGAAGAATGATCTTTTTCTTTGTTGTTTTGAAGGTGGACTGAATGCTCTCCTGCACACACTGATTGCTGGATTTTTGCAGCACTGCAGACACACGCTTCAACTGGCAGGGCACAGGTGAGAGGCAATAGCACCATCATTCTTTATTTAAGGAAGCAAATATTTTTGCCTGGAGAAGAAAAATTTAAATGAATAGAAAAACAAGAACTCTTAAGATTTGACTTTTTTTCAGAAAAATGTACTTCTTTTCCTCTGGAAAATTCTTTGAAAAATAGGCATCATATTTATGTTGCTGCTGTTGATTAGCTATTATCAGGAGGGCTCCCTATATCTGAATACTAGACTAAACAATCTTGGCAAATTGTATAATTATTTTTATCGTCCATCATTATCATGTTTGCGCAACTCAAGTTCAAGTTTAAGGTCATGGTAGTCTTTCGTCATTGATCACATCACTGTTTGATGTGTTTCTTTTTTTATATCTATAAATGTCATCGCACAAGCATTATATAGAGTAGCTTTTTAAGTTTTAGATCTTTCTTGCTTTTTGAAAAATGGTTTGAAATTTGAGGAATATAGAGTTTTGATTTGAGGCCTTGACTTCAATAATAGAGCTTATGCTGGAAAGTGCCTTTAATGAGAAATGTATAACAGTGATGTAGTTGTTTAAGGCAGAATAATAGTTTTGCAAGGAATTATATCTGATTTTTGATGTTACTAACAACCTGACTAAATATTACTGACAAACCAGTGAGTAAAATTGTGTTGCTGAACATGCCCAAAGAATCAGCCTGTTTCAAGCAAGGTTCAGTCCCTCTCTAACAGAAGGGGTGGGGGGGCATGTTTCAAAGTCTGTCAATCATTTTCTGATAGCAAATGAAATAACCAGAAGGAAGTGAAGAGGTGGGATTTCTTAACTACGCCTTTTATGCTGGGTTTGTGCAACCAATCATATTCTCAACGTCGAGTTCATTTTTGCAGCGCTCGCGGCAGTTGGGCTTGTTGAGAATATTACTTGTGTAATAGAAAAAGAAGTGAAGAAAAGAATAAAAAACAAAAATTCATGAAATCTGCTGACAGAATGTAAGAACACCTCAGGAGGTGGAGCAACGTTCTATTCATTTAGAAGAATAAAGCCTGAGAAGGCGGTGAGTGTTTTCCTAAACATGTAATCAAATTGAAATTTCAGCAGTTAGAAAAAAAAATTGAGATGGATACACACAATATAAGTAAATCCCTTTACGGTAATTAAAAGCATTAGAGAAAATGTTGGAGACGTGCAGTTTTAATATTTTTATCCTGCACTCTGTTATTATACCCTTGTATAGTACTTTATGAATAGTTCGTTGAGAACCCTTACAGTGTAAAGTTTGTGCTAAACATATGAAGCTGAAGGACCCCATAATGGTTGTAACTGAATTTTTTTTTCTTCTTCTTTTTGATTTCGTTTTGACCCCTATAAAAAGCAAACATTGTAATATGTTGTCAGTATGTTCCTCATTGTAAATAGAATTATATTGTAATACATTTTCGATATATTACTTTTTATGTGGGTAGACATGATCCATCAGCTGAGTATGTTGGCCCCAAACTTGTAGATACTGAAGAACATGCAGGTGAAAATGCTTATAAGCAATTAATTTTACTATGCATTTCCAGGAAACTTGCTGACCTGTTTGTCAGTGAGATAGAATTAACAAACAAATAAATTAATGTAATGAAAAAAGGAATACATGCATGAATGTGCAGGCAGCAAGGTGGCTTGGCCCTTGGCCCATTTTCATCTCTTATTCCTCACACCAGGGCTTTACAGGGCGTATTTCAAGCATAAATACATTGAACTTGTAAGCTTGAGCATGGGTATTTTCCTAAATGTCAAAATTCATTTTCAAAATGCCCTCCCTTGCGCAAACATGAAACAGTTACTGTTCCTTCTCTTCAATAACTGGACTAAATGGGGACGAGTAATTAGTCATGCGTTTAGTCATGAAGAAGAGCCCTTCACTACTCTGGAGTAACCAGTGTGGGCACATTATGGCAGATTTAGTCATGATGATGAACTGCCAGTATGTCCTTTCAGCCAATGCATTCACCCACACACTCCATACCCACTCACAGAGACACACGTATTTCGTGTGGTACAGTAATAGTTCATTTGTCAAATCATTTAAAGCTTTGTTTCTCATCATTATACACATCTAGTTGGGCTATTTAGTTTCATTCCTCTGTTAAACGTAGGCTTCCGTACATGTTGGCTGGCTTGAAGATAAAGTCAGACGCTTGTGATTGTTTAAAAGAATATAAACAGACTTGGACTCCTCCAGAGTCCAACTCTCATTCTCTTTCCTCTCGCATCCATTTCTGTGCCTAAAGCATCGACAAAATGGCCGACCTTCTTTCTGCCTGGAGACTCTCTGCACCCATTTTGTGCATTAGCCAGAGTTGCCAGGTGAACACAGAGTGGTCAAGTATGGAAGAGAGGGAATGAAGGATGAGTAAAATCAAGCGCTAACAGGCTCAGAGATAGGGCTGGATAGATAGATGAAGGAGTGAAGTACAGAATTCTCCTTTTCTTATTAAGCAGCTTAATTGTTGCCGACTGACTGCATATAAACAAGCAGCTTTGCAGTGCCCTGGACCCTTCCCAGCTCCACTCCTCAAAGCTCTGACCTTGGGCCAATGCCATAAACTGTTGTTTTCCACTTGTGCAAAAAAATACTGGCAGGGTCCTGCAGCAGTTCTAAACCCCCTGCTACCCCACCCTATGTCCCCCCAGCCGCTTGGCTAGGAATACAACCTGCTTACAGTGCATAAGCGGCTAGCACTGTGGCTTTGCTACCCCGCTGCTGCTGTATGCTAGCTCCTCTGGAATTCTGCACATGCCTGGCATTTGGTTACTCAGCCAGATGGTGGAAACATCCCAGAGACAGTTCTACTGTCTGGTCATGCTACCAGAGTCTCTAACAGCACTTGCTAATAACGTGTTTAGCAAGACAAGTTCCCTGGAAGTCTAAAATTGCTAATACAGGCTTGTACAGCTTACGTTTTTTCCAAGTTTAGCAACGTTTTTTTCTAGCCTGGGAGTGTGCTGGAACCTCTATTATCGGTGCAGGACCATATGAAGTCGAACAAGTTAGCTCACATACAGTAAGCAAGAATGCTACTCAGTAAAGGTATTCTTGTTGATAGGAACTTTCTATTCCTCACGTCCTTTTCTTTAGGCTGCATCGTGCTTCAGCTTGGCACACAGCACCATCCATATTGTGTTTATGAAAATGAATTAGGAACCACATTGCATAACTGTGCCCACTACACACATATTTCCACACCACCTCGTATACGACCGCGGCGAGCACGCAGGGCCTCTAGAGCGAGGATCTATCAGAGATAACAGCGTTGAGTCCCTCTCCCACGGGCCTGCGCCTGGTTAGAGTTCCAAGGAGCAGATGGCATCACTGCATGGCATGAGATATCACAATGTGATGCATCCGCATATGTAAGGGAAAACTGCTCAAGCAAACCTTAAAGGAGAGTCAGGTTTTAGTGTTCCACTGAAATTCAGAAGAAGCAGAGTGCTCAGATTATTATAGACTAATTTGTTACAAGGCAGCCGTTAGTATCTCTTGTTGAGTTGGTGATTTGCTGATTGCAGGTGATCAGAACTGTTTAGCTATAATAGTCTCAGTTGCTAATGCACCGCTTAACGTTAGATATCTTCTGGGTCTGCTGTGGACCTTTGAACAGGGTCAAAGTATGCGAACAGAGCTCTAATAATAGCCTAGCAACAGATGCATTTATGTCTCCCAATGGCGGAGAGGCACAGTCAGGGCACAGGGTTTGAGAATGTGTCAGGCCTGACAGGTCATCTCTGTCTGTCAGCCAGTGAGGCTCCTCTGCATCACAGCCTGCCTGCTACTGCTTCAGCACTCGCCACTGCTCAGGTCCTCTTAAAATAGGGCAGGTCCTGCAATTAACACATTTCACTAATTAGACCAAAGAACTAAAAAGGGCTCACAAATTGAGAATTAGTCGGTGTTCTGGTGCCTGACCTGATGTAGCCAAACACTTTAAAGTGAAGTGAGTGAAAGTCAAAGCTCCTCACTGATTAGAAGTGCAGTACAATCAGTGTTGAACTTTTGAAATGATGAATTAGATTTTGGGCCTCAGGTGCTTTTGGCAAGTGCTAGCATTCTGAATTCAAAACAGGATGCAGCTGGCCTCCTGAATGAATACAGGAGAATGAGTCAGAAACGATCAGTGGAGAAATGCTCAATAACTTTATTTTGGCTTGTCACTGAAGTGCGTTCTCATATTGTGTCACCAATCAGGGACTGCGGAAACTCTGGCCCTAGCTGGCTGTATTTGGCCAGTACAAGCAGAAAACAGGTTCAGAGGTTCTGATCTAGCCACGGAAATTTCAGCTCTTGGAAACAATGGAGGCTAACGTATGATAGATCATTGTGATTATAATCAAATCTGGTCTGGCACTAAGCCTCTACTTGGTATTGTACTTCATGACAATTCATATATGGTGTTTTTGGTGTTCTGAAAGAGATGTGGACGTGTCGTTTAGTGGACGACGTAATGGTGTGGTGGTGAGCTGAGCCATATTCTTTCTGCTCTTGAATGCTCGGGCAACATAATGTGAATGGATTGAGGAAAGACTCGTCCAGTTCTCGTTGATGGCTCACTGCTATGCATTCCTCAGTACTTTGAAGTCCGCCTAGTCAAATTCAAAGCCTGCCCATTGAAGCTCCCCACAGCAGACCCTCTCCTGTGTCAACCTCTGGGACATTATAAAATGTATGAAGCCCTGTTCTCTGCTACAGTTACTGTTGCTTCAATTTCTCAGTCAATTTCAGGATGAATAGGTTAGGTCTTGCCATCTGCCTCTGTGGTTTGATTGTGGAAAGGTTTTCATATTACATTTATGGAATTCCAGCCTGTTGGTTTTTTGCTGTTTTGAGAATAAGAACCGGGCTCTGATATCTGTTACCTCTGATTTCCACTGTAATATTCCTGTGTGATCAGTGTAATTTAAAAACGAACACAAATTTATCATGGCAGAAAGTTCTACTTCTTCTGTTGATAACTGAACTTGTCTTGGTGGTGCTCACCTAGAGGTCAGCAAGTCTGGCAATGAATCAGGAGGTCATGGGCTTAATCCCAGCAGGTAACTTCCTGCCACTGTTTCTATAACCTTCAACAAGGTACGTACAGCCTCATGATAGTCATGTGAGTGTAGTCTTTCAGAAAATGGCTTCTGGGAAGGTCAGTACCTTTTATATGTTAAGGCAGTCTGTAATGACATTCGTGTACCAGAAGAATGGATTGTGGTCGTCATTCACCGTGCTGAATTCTAACTCTCCATATGTGAGCTTTTCCATTAACCTTTTTTGTACATAATAAAACTAAATCTACTGTACATCTGCGTTTGTGTTGGTAAGAGTATCCCTGACTTACTTTTCCATATTTCCTATGCATGCTCGAATTAGTACTTGCTTGGAAGCTTGAGCATGACTGCACATCTGTGAATAGCTACTGTATATGTTAGCTCACTTAGCTGTGTTAGCTGTGCTCACCCTCACTCTTAATTCCTGTATCAGCTGCAGAGGTGATGGGGAGGTCACCGTGTCTGTCTCAGAACAGAGCTCCCCCCTGCTGCTCGCCCCGGCCAGCACTGCACATGTGTAACAGGAGCCTCCACCATGTATAAATAGTTGTTTCAGGGCTGTGCCCGTTAACCTGGGGCCACAGCACATTTGGGCTCCGTATTTAGCCTCCGCTACTTTCACACTCCCGTCTGGATTTCTCCCCTTTGCACCCTGGGGCCCTAGGCTATAAGGCGTAAAAGAATGTATGTGTTTTACCCAAACATTTGTGCAAAGCTGTATCTCAAAATGGAAACTTTATAAAATTTTGTTAGCTTTGTTGTATGTTAATGTGACAAGATCTTATACCAAGTTATTTTGGGCCATTTTTCTTGATCCGTTTATTGTGAGATGTTCACACAATGCAAACGGCTGGTGGTGTTTTCAAATAATTTTATATATAAAATATATTAATAGTTTTACTTTTATAAAATAAAATGATGTTTTAATATGATCTCAGCAAATAATACACATAATTATAATTGCTGACTCTGTGCTTTAAGCTCTTGCATTGTCTGTGTTGATATGGTCTATATATAAATATCCGTGATCTATATAAATTAGTTCATTGTAAATATTGTTTTTTTTCTGGCTGTTTTGGTTGTTAGTTTCCAGGAAATAAATATACCATGTGGTATAAAGCATGGGAATAGGGATGGTTTCTGAGCTATAGGTAAAATGAGCCTAGAATGTCAAAAGAAGAATGATAAATCTTGAGATTTTCATAGATTTATGTGCCTCCATGCGATGCACAATCAAACCCGAACCCCCCACTTCCACTGTAAAATTGCACTTGATTCTGATGCTTCACTTGACTCATGAGTGAATTTAAGATTACCATAAATGTAACATTTTTCATGTTTCCTAACAAGGTGTGGTGCATATTATTCACTATTATTTATTATGTACAACCATTCATTTTAAAGGACAATAAGAAATATATACAGTATATTATATGCATGTGTTCTGCAAATTGCTGTTTCCTGAATCAACAGCGAATGGGCGATTTGTCACCTGACCAAGCAGATTCACAAATGCGTTGCATAGCAACAGCAGAGATTCTGCCATCCTTCCCTTCCAATAAGGAGCATCCTTCCCTTCCAACAAATAGCATTCCTTCAACTTTACAACTTACTGTCATTCCAGGGTCTTCTCTTTGCTGTGTTAGATAAACAACTTGAGGCAGACAGTAACCGTTTGTGAAAGAAGATATGAATTTGCGCTTAGGTCATATTGGACGTCTTATTCTTAATCTAATTTAACACCAACGAAACATCTTTTTTTCCTTGCTGCAGGTGGAGACTACAAGTGTTAAGACACAATACAGATGGATTATATGAAATTTGCAGCCTCAACAGGAGACATTTGTTTGATCAAGTTCCCTGCACCTCAGGTACTGTATTTGTGGCTAAGTAAGGTTCGGTCAGAGCAATTTAAACATAATTGTTTCAGTTTGTAATTAAATGTTCACAATACTATTCAAAAGTGTCATCACTCTTGTTGTGACTCTGTACTCTGGTAAGAAGTCTCGTTTCCAGCCTGAACCGGACCGGCTGCTGCTCTGCAGTGCATCACGCTGTCCTTTGGGGTGAGGTAGTAGGTTGTATAGTTTTAGGGTCATACCCTTCCCGTCAGATAACTATACAACTTACTGTCTTTCCTGAAGTGGCTATAATATCATCGTCACGCACAACGGCTCTTGAGGTGTGAAGCCCCTGACTGAAGTGACTGCTATGATTATGATACAGGGTTGGACTGAACATTTTTCATGCAGCCTGTTTAGTTTGCAGTATTTGAATTGCTTGACAACCATTAATTCCATGTCTTTGTCACTCTCCTCTGTGGGTGTAGACTGCAGTGCTGCTTTTTTACTGTTCATTATGATGCTCTATTTCTCTGGAAGACAAGCACCTTTTAGTTTGACAGCACATTTTGACAGATGTATGTTTAACAGCTGTTTCAGTAGTTACAGGAAATGAGTGGACAACTGAAGTGAATGGATATTCTGCAAATCAGCTTTGCGTGCCTGTGTTGGGTTGATTGATGCACGCAGTTTCTTTAATGAAGGACAAAATAATGTCCTGATCACTGCCACCCTTTTTCTTTGCCAATTCAAGTGGGTGCTGCTGTAACAATGCATCTATAAATCCTGTACAAATCTGTAATAAATGCTGTGCTGCTTCCCATGTATCCTTCCTTAAACTTAAGGTGCACATTTTCATCAGTATATGCGATGTAGGTTTGAGAAGGTTATGAAGCCATCGAGTAAATGAAGAAAAATTATCCACTCGTCCAGCCGCCTCCTCTTCACCCTATGGGGCAGTTCCTGATGTTCGCACAGGGTGAGGTAGTAGGTTGTGTGGTTTCAGGGTAGTTATTTTGCCCCATCAGGAGATAACTATACAACCTACTGCCTTCCCTGGAGGGCAGCGATACAACACCACATCACCAGCAGGGGGAGACATTCACCCATCATCTGTTCCACCAACCAGAATATTCAGGTATTTGAAGGAGTGTGTGTTAGTGTTTATATACTATATATGAGTTTCTGAATTATATTGAATGTTTGCTGTCATTGGGAGCTCCAGCAAATAAGAAATCATTTGTACTTGTGTTTGTGCTGTGACATCAGGCATAGATTGTCATTGGTGATTTTCTTTTTGTATGACCCTCCTGATATGATTACAAAGATATTATGTTTGTATGTATTTCTGCTTACCACATGGTGTTCACTTTTTAGAATGAAGGATTAACCAATAAAGGTGATGCCTAGAAAAACAGTCAAAGAAATATGTCTTTTCATTTTAAAGAAATAAAATGTGTAAGATTTCGTAAATCATCTGTCTAAACTGCAAACTGACAATAAAACAGTGTCAATAAAGAGTCTTGTGTTGACTCTTGTTTCACTTTGCCCCATTGTTTTGATCATTTAATGTGCTAGTCACCAGACCAAGATAACCTGCAGAGAGAGACAGAGAGACACTAAACAGGCGTTTTAAATAATACATTCACACAATCCATTAGACCATCTTACAGCCTTTGGGACTAAACAGCAGCAGGGTTAAATGTAGCATCAGTGGTCAATAGTAAAGATGGAAAACCTTAATGTGTGCATCCTTTCTTTGATTACATACTGAAAAACATAAGTATTTTATGTTTTGTATGGAACATAATTGTGTATTGTGTAATTACATGCTTATTACTTGAAGATGTTGCCTTAAGGGTTACAAAAACGAAGGAAATCTACTTATAGATGTTTGAATGACTTGGTATGTCACAGGACATACATTCAGCATGAAGGGAAATGTTAGCATCAACACCTATTAAGTAAGCATGCAGTAGGCTAGGGGTAATCATCTTGCTCAAGGACAAAGCCCTGATACCACAGCCGGGACACATCAGCTGACTTGCTCTCTGGACCAAAACTTCAACCTTCCTTAATTCTAATTATACCCTGACCAGGCATCGCTTACAGAACATAATGATGGAAACATACAGTAACAGCATAATTCTTCAAGAATTCTAGTAGGCTGTTATTGTAAGTGTGATCATAGGGTCTTATTTTTGTAATGTAATGTAGTGAACTCTACTGATCAAGTCATCAGCTGTAACCTCAAATCCACCAAAACCTGTGTGAATTCAGTCTAGAAGATCAGAAAAACTTCTGGACCACATCTGTTCCAACAACATCCCTTTGGAAAGTCGCTGAGATTCAAATCAGCAGGTTCTTGAGTAGCTTCTTTGCCAGTGCTGTGGTTCTGGTGAATGAGTAATCCAGATGAGGAATACTTTCACTGCACACTCCTGTTCACCTCACCCAACCAGGAGTCAATCATTAATTCCCTACCATCATGATCGCATGTCTTTACTCCTCCACATCTCCAGTCAAGCAATGATGGGCTGAACTGCTGTTACACTAAAAGCAACACTAAAAGCTGAAAACAATACCTACATACATGAAACGACAAAAGTGACAGAAGTGTTGGGTTTTTTTTTTCAACTTAGTATAGCTGTGCATTGCGAGCCCTTGTTTTCTGATTAGGTAAAGATTACTATAAGATCACTGATTAAAGAAACTTGAGGGAGTCTTAAAGAGAAGCCGCAGAGCTGCAGCTCTGCCAGATTACAATACATAGGAAATGGTGCCATCTACTGTGTGGTGCAGGAAAGGAGAATCGAGAGCTGAGATGGCAGAAGATCATACAGCTCAGTATTAAGAATGTGCTGTTTCTGTGAAATGAGAAGTAAAAAAAATGTCCAAAATGATGAAAAGATTCTAAAATGAATGAGAAATAACAAATTAATTTATTGAAATTAATTAATTAATTTAGTTACTGAAATATTGAATAAAACATCTAAAGATTCCTTTTGACATATAGGTTGTAATATTTAACTCCTTACATAGCCAGGGCCCACAGGCAGGCCTATAGTTTTATTACACACTTCTATAACCTAAGAATAACTCAACCAGTTTACGCTGGAGACCCTGTAGTTACTGAATAATAAGCCTTATTATGTAATAAGCATGGGATTTCAAGGGGGTTTTAAAATTACAAAACTGGTAATATGGCAAGTGTTAATCCCAAACTTTGTTTGCATGTGTGCAACATAACAGACCACTGATCCAGTTGACACAATGGATCATATGGTTATTTAATGATCTTACTTTGGTAACAACTCATAATGCATTACAGCAGTTTTGTCAGACTGAAAATGTAAAAGATGTTTGCTTTAAATTAGTATTTCTCAGTAGAAGTAAAAAATCTGTCCATCATTCAAGAACTTCTAAATGGCTCTCTAATATGCTTTTAAGTATATGTTTATTCCATGCAGTATGTACAATTTTTGCAATTTATTTTTACAAGGATTTCTTTTAATATTTATTCATGTAGTGTCATTATAAAGGTGCTAAATGGAACCAGGTGCCCAGACCTGGTCCTAGAGAGCTACTGTCCTGCAGAGTTTAACTACAGCTATAACTTAACATACTCGATCCAGTTAATGAAAGTCTTCAGGAGCGTCTGAATGTTAAACTCAGGTGTGCTGGATCTGAACTCTGCAGGGTGGGAGATTTCCAGGATCAGGAGTTGGGCAGCCCTGCCATTCGTCCTTCACTGGAAGTGGCACTTCAGGGGATCTTTAGTACAGACAACAGTTATATATCAAACCATGATAACTCAAGGAACAGTCTGAATGCTTAAAGGGCTCTTCTCTACACTCTTAAAAAAGATCGTTCTTCAAGGTTCTTCAGTAAAAAAGTGATTCCACATAGAACCATGAACATTCAAAGAACCATTTGCATGCTTAAAGTGTCCTTTGCATGGTGAAATGCTTTTTCAGATTGATGGAGAATATGTTGTATATGGTTCTACATAGCACCAAAAAGGTTCTACAAAGTTATACAGCACATTCTCCATCAGTCTGAAGAACTATTTCACCAAGCAAAGGACCCTCTAAGCATGCAAATGGTTCTTTGAGTGCTCATGGTTCTATATAGAACCCTTGAAGAACCATCTTTTTAAGAGTGTATGATGGAAAATTTGTTGCCTGTGGTTCTTTAAAGAACAATTTAAAACAGTTCTATATTCAAAATGGGTTCCATTAAACCATATAATCTTTTTTGGTACTATATGGAACTCTTTTTGCCAAGAGTGTAGAAGTGTTCCCTAAAGAACCTCTTAGCAGATTGGCTCAGTGTTATAAATGAGAATGTGTGAATGTGAATAACCATTTTAAAGTTTAAAGAATTAATATATTAATTCAATACCAATTTATAACATTTTTCCCAGAACCATACACCCAAGCCAAAAACCATGTAGGAACGTTAGTTTTAGGTGTAGAATGAGAAGACTTACAGTTGGCCCGTTTTTTATTTGATTTTATAGTAAGCTACTAAAAGCTCCGTTTTGCAGCAAATGCCCTGTGCAAAAGCAGCCCAGCTTCACACTTTAGGTTGTGAAATCTTCTAGAAGTAAGTTGGAAGCCCCCGCTGACAGTGCCCCAGGGAGATGGAGAGAGGCGAGGAGGAGAAGAGCAGATTTCTGGGTGTGTTGTAACACAGTGCTGGTGTCCTCTTGTTCAGCGTCTCTAGGGAAAATGATTTAGGCTCTGCTTCTCTGCTTCACTTCAGCCCTGGAGCAGCTCCAGCAGGGGCAGTGAGCCGAAGGGCTTTAGCTCGTCACATGGTGAGAGGAGCAGGGCCAGGAACAAGGCAGCTGGTCAGGAGTCTCTGGAGCTTCAGACTCCACCCAGGACATTAATCAGAAATTTGTCCACTCATTGTCAGTGTCCTCAGGGAGACACTTTCCATTCAGGTGCTTTGGCAACAGAAAGTCCACAACAACTTTTCAGCTAGTTTTATTCAATGGGAAAAACACACAAATGGGCATCTTGCAGTGCAGTATACTGAACGCTTCCGCTTCAGGTGCTGCTGTACAGGAGAGCAGTTGCTTTGTGCCTCATGACAATAAACAGCGACATCTTTTGGTAAAACTATTCTGTGTCTCACACACACAAAAAAAGGATTGGTTTAGGTAGTTAAACTGCAAAGGCCTGTATGTGTGTCCACATGTCAGTTCCTCACTCTCATACCTATGAACACCCATCAGCCATAACATTAAAAGCACCTTCTTGTTTCTACACTCAGTGACCATTTTATCAGCTCCACTTCTACAGTTACAGACTACAGTCCATCTGTTTCTCTGCATACTTTGTTAGACCCCTTTTACCCTGTTATTCAGTGGTCAGGACCCCCACAGGACCACCACAGAGAAGGTATTATTTGAGTGGTGGATCATTCTCAGCACTGCAGTAACACTGACATGGTGGTGGCGTGTCTGTGTGTGTTGTGCTGGTATGAGTGGATCAGACACAGCAGTGCTGCTAGAGTTTTTAAACACTGTGTCCACTCACTGTCCACTCTATTAGTCCTACCTTGTCAGTCCACCTTGTAGATGTAAAGTCAGAGACGATAGCTCATCTGCTGCTGCACAGTTTGTGTTGGTCATCCTCTAGTCCTTCATCAGTGGTCACAGGACGCTGCTCACAGGATGCTGTTGGCTGGATGTTTTTGGTTGGTGGACTATTCTCAGTCCAGCAGTGACACTGAGGTGTTTAAAAATTCCAGCAGCACTGCTGAGTCTGATCCACTCGCACCAGCGCAACACACACCAACACACCACCACCACGTCAGTGTTACTGCAGTGCCGAGAATGATCCACTACCCAAATAATCCTCCGCCACCCAAATAATAACATACATTTTGTTGGTATAATAATAATTTACTACAGTAGTTGCAGAGTAATAAATCTTATGATGAATGGCGTAATAATAAGTATATGGTTCAAAGGGTAAACAGTGAGATATAATGTCACTTTATTAGTTTATTGAAACTGCAGCATGTGGGTGCTCACTTGCTTATGAAGGGCAGAGTCGTAATTGATTATTTGGCTTTCTTTTTAATGTGAAATGTTTGCTTCACAAGGAAATATTGCTCAAATGTTGCTCTTTGGTGGCTTGGGAAACTTAATGGATGTTCTCCTAAAATCCCTGAGGAGAAATAACATTTCTGATGTCATTGTTGTCCAGGAGAAACTGCAGAAGGGTGGTTGGGTTCAAATCCTGGGACTGACTGGGTATACCTGGTTGTGCCTGACTGGGCATAGTTAGGCAGCAAAATGACACATTTCCCTTGTAGAATAATTTTAAAAATTGTATTAAAGAGATTTATTTTTCTATCATCTGGGTTCTCTTGTTTCTAGTAGCACTGTACAGGCTATACACAACTATGCTTGTCCTGTGAATCTATGTGTCCGTGTACACATTTGTGCGTGTGATGTCTGTTTGCATGTAAGCCATGTCCACTGCCAGTTTGGTCTGAGTGTTATGGCACTGGTCAGTTGGTCCCTCCTGTCTGTGCTCATGGCTCTGACTCAGTGCTGTCTGACTGGCTGCAGTTCTTTTTGAAGTTGCAGGCTGAATGAAGCAATAGAAACATGTTTTGGCCCTAATGAGGTATGTGTACTAAGACCACTTCCAAGGTTGAACTAGATCAGGCACTGCCAAATTAAATATTAGCCTTGTTCCCGAACGCTCATAAACAAACAAATAAAATAAAATCTATTTAGAAACTTTTTTGCACATCTACCTTGCTATGAAGTTTAGTCCTGCTCCTCATCCATCACACCTGCTCTCACTGATCAGAATTTTTCAGAGAGCCTTTAGCAGCTGGATGAAGTGGTTTTGCATTTCAGAGTTTTGGGCTGGACAAAACAGGTAGATCTCCAGGAGGAGGGTTGGTGACTGCAGCTGTGAACTCAACCAGACAAAACACTGTTTGAGTAAATTAATCAAATGAATCAAAACTATAAAGCAATATGAGCCTACAAACTTGGTCTTGTATTTCTGTCTATCTATCATGTTGACACTGCTGCAGCTGCAGTAGCTATATCATTACGCCTTTCCCTCCATTCACAAGACAAAAAGATGTTTTATGTTTAAGGAGTTGCAATGAAAGCACCACAATCACACCAAAAAGCCTTTAGACACAGTTATTTAGCCATTTATCTATATAATGAATCTTGTCTTAAAGGGGAATTCCACTGATTTTTCAAATTTTCTGTTTAATACAGTTGTTGAGATGTAAATGCAGTCATCAGAGTTCTGATGTGAGATAGCTTGTTGGAGAGAAACTTACCAAGGTGATACCAGGCGTCGCAGTGTCTACAACACAAATATAACAATTTTTCTTGCTATCCTAAACAACCAATTAATCTACATGTACATTACTATTATACATAAAATATGGTAAAATAGTGGTAAATGTAAAAAAATACATTTTCTTTTTAAGATCTTTTGTTGGGATTTCAATTATTAATAATTATGCTGAAATTTTGAAGAATTCACCTTAAAATTGAGGGGAAGGATTTTAGTCATAAAGGTTATTAAACTTTGTAGTAGTAGTAAGTCAGAATGATAGGGCTGTAATATCATAAACCCAGTCACCTTGACAGGGCAATTTTGTACTGTTTTGTATGCAAGAAAAACATGACAATACAATAATTAGCAATATGCAGCCTTTAAATGACAGAATTCTTTTTATAAATAAATAATGCAAGAAATGAACTTCAATGTGTGTTTATGTGATGTGTGCATCATTTCTGCTTTCTTAATATTATTTTAAGCAAAAAAATCATATATGATATCTTCATATGGTTTTTCTGCCAATATCATGTTTGACAAACAAACAAACAAATAAATAAATGCATGCTTATAGAGCCTCTTGTGGCTTTGGGCATCCTAAGCAACTACTTTTTCCACTTACAGCAAGAAACAGCCCAGTGGTTTGACTTGCAACATTAGACATGTCATCTATGGATACATATTACATAGGTTATGTGAGTAGAGTAGTCTAAACTCACACTCAAGTAAAAGTCACTTTACATATTATGGTGACATAATGACCCAAATAAAAGTACCTGTAGAGAAAACAATGTAGAAGTACAAAAATAACAGTTCATAAGTGCTGAGTGGTTTATTAAAGTGCACTTTTTTGTTTTATTTAGTTTAGATTATTGCGTTTAGTTTATTGAGCTTCTTAGTTTATTCAGCATCAATCAGCACAGAAAGTGAAGATTGTTAGGAGTGATTTTTCTCTTCTTGGCATTTTTTAGCCTAGAATAAGATGATAAATTCTCCAAAGTAAGACTGTGACCAAGATGTAATGACAGTACAGATGCTGTCATCAACGTAACATAATAAAATGAAACCGAAAAAGGATTAGTAACTAAATACTACTCTGTTAGAAACAAAGTAACTGTGCAGATACATTTTTTGTTCATCGAGGTACAAACAGTGTAAATGTACCCTCAAAGGTACAACAGTGGTTTTAAGGTCCAGTTGTGAACCTTAAATAAGTTTTTCCCAGGTGAAAAGTACATATTTGTACCTTTTCATAACTTGATGTTATAAAACAGACAAATAAAATAAAAAGCCTGAAGATGAGACGGGGTGTGTGGAGTCAGTACAACTTAGAAAATATAAATTCAATGGATTATGGTACAATTATGTTCCCTGACTAAAGGTACTGTGATGCACCTTTGAGGGTACCACCCTAGTTACAAGAGGGGTACTGCCCCAGTGACAGTTTCATACATTTATTTCTGAAAGTGTAATGATTAACCCCTTAAATGGCCATGGGCCCACAAAGTTTCACTACACACTTCTATAATCTAGGAAAAGCTCAGCCAGTTTGCACTGGTGTCCTGTAGTTACTGAATAATAAGCCTTATTATGTAATAAGACTGTGACTTTAAGGGGTTAAAATGCAAAATGCAAATGTAGTAAATCACCTTCAGCACTAATATGTGAAAACATTACCATCTGAAGTACAAACCTGTCAAAATCTTTTAAAACACTAAAGTGCCTATAGCTGAGTAAATGTAATAAGTCCTACCCACCACTGATCCGAATTGTGTATAAAAGATGGTTTAGATGAAACACTAGAACAGAAAAAGAAAGGAAAACTGATAGCTGTGACAGTGTAATGTGGTAAATCTATGATCCCACAGTGTAAAAGCTGGCAGACACTGGACCGACTATGTAGTCTACATGATCCTAATGAGGCAGAAGTCTCTACAGTGTGGTCTATCAGTGATTCAGCGGTGTCCTCACTGACGGTGCTGTGTGATGACCGCTGTCCGGCGGATCCTCCGTGTGCTGCTGCTGCTGCTGCTGGTGGATGAGCTCGCCATGTCTGTGTTAGGGGGCTTCCTGAGCTCGGGGAACACGGAGCGCTCCCATTCGCCCAGACCATAGGTGTGTCAGGGGGTGTGTGATGGAGGCGGTGACGTGTTTCCGGTCGCGGGGGCGGCGCTGCTGGACTGCAGTGGGAGTTTGACAGCGGCGGTCGGAGCTGCGCCACACAAACAAGGACGTGTGAAAGAAAGGAGGCTGTGTTTCTGTCCTCGTCCTGTTTTTTCCGGCCGCGCAAAAGCCCAGAGCCCCGCTCACCGGCGCCGCTCCTCCCGCCATGCTCACACTGCAGAGGCTCCTGCACGACAAAGGTAAAGTAAAGCTCCTCAATCAGAGCCTTCAGAGCCCGAGAGTCTCAAATCAGCTGCACAAGTCGAGCAACAACACAGCCGCACTAGCCGACCTCACTGACTCTGCACAGCAGCTCTGCGGGACGAGCTGTGTGATCCGAGCTCTGTGTCTGTGCTGGACTGTCGGTGCTGCTGTCTTGGTCAACATGGAGCACTTTGCGTGCGCTTATACACGCAGCCTTGACTGTCCTGAAAGTCCAGTAAGTCCTGTAAGGTTGCTGCCGTTGTTAAAGGGGAATTCCGCCAAATTTCCAAAATTTGTGCATAATTAACTTGTTAAGTGGACATTAGAAGTTATTCAGAGTGGTTTGGTGTGAAGTGCTGTCTTCTAGAGAAACCTGCAGAGAATTGTTTACAGTGGTGGTGATAGGAACCAGACTTCTGAAGAGTTTAATGCTTCTTAAAGCTGCCTCACTGAAAGTTAATACATGATATGATTATGAACACACTGTCTGATCATCTGCGGTTTTGATCAGGTTTTAGCCTAAAATAGTTTTTAAGTAAAATACATTTATGGAGAAGGGGATACATGAAGGTTGTTGTAAGGCAAAACAGTCCCCAAAGGATTTTTTTTGGATTAAGCACTGTTTTAGCATCAGCAACATAATCCACACGTGTGAGCTTCACTGGTCAATTTGTATAGTAACCAAAGTGGCTATAATGTCATATGCAAAGGTTTTAACATCCTGGTCAAATCACATGTTTAGAAAAACATCCTGTACAGAGAACAATTAAATGTGGCATTTTTCTGCACATTTTAGTTTTCAGTTTCATTTCTTTTGTTTAACATATTGGAAAAACAAATAAGACATAAACTATTAAATATGCCATAACTTTTGCATAGAACATATTTTAAGTTTGATTACTTTCTCCAATATGTTAAGTAATTAGATAGTAATAATGCATTAATATGTGCAGAATTGTGTTTTCTGTAGGTGATGTGTTACTTATTTTCACTCAGAACATAAGTAGCATTATCGAAGTACAAAAATGTAATGTGCAGAGAGGTGCCCAAACTTTTGCATACGACTGTATATGGACTGTTGACATCACAGCCCCTGGTTCCTGTCAGCACCACTGTAAAGAAATCGGAATATTTCTCTACGGTAAACTGTTTCACATCAAACTACCCTGAATGACTGTTTACGTCTCAGTGACTGAATTTAGGAAAATCAGTGAAATTCCCCTTTGATTCTCAGCTCTGTAAACAGTAGGCTGGACCTATGTACTTTTGAAAGGCTTTCTGTGGCCCAAAAATGAAATTTCTCTCCAGTGTGTAGGAGTTTGTTTGTGCAGTCTCCCCTAAACCAGCACCTGAGACAGTTTAAAATGAAATTACAGTGCCACAGGCTTTCTGCGTCTCTGCTGCCTTCAGCAACTGGAGTGCAAGAACATCTGCTTAGACTCATTGCCTGGAATCGTGTAATGATGCTGTGCAAATAAGGTATTTCAACCTCAGAACCATTCCTGTAACTAGATATTTTAAGATATGAGCCTATATGTAATAAACCTATAACACCTATAACATAATAATAAAATAAGGATTTACAATGTGTTCAGAATGTCAATAATTATAATAAAGTGTACATGTATAGCACCTTTTATATAGAAAGAAAAGAAACAAAAGGTAGTCAAAAAATAAACACTAAAATAAGCACATAATAAAAATGCAACAAATAAAAGCAGTGACAAAAAGAAAAAAATGAAGGAAATAAAATGTTACTGCATGAAAATGATGGTGCACAGACAAAATGCTGCTTCACTGCTCTCTTTCATTTTCATACGTGTATTATGGAGACGGCTATCAATAGAGGATCTTAAAGCAGGATTTGGAACAGTTTATCAGGCATTCAGAGTTGGGGGTGCTATACAATTAAGAGTATTAAAAACTGGTAATAGTCATTTATAAAGGAAAAAGACAGCAAGTGGAGAGATGCTAAAACTGGTCTAATATGGTCTTGTTTTCTGGTATGTGTTAATATTCTTGCTGCTGCATTTTGCACATTTTGCACAGATTGTAGTTTGTTTGTTTTAGTTGTAAGAAGCCCTGTGAGTAATGCTTCAATAGCTAAGTGAGAGAAGAATTTTGTTTATTTTCCACACATTGCACTTTTTCAACTGCAGTAGGAATGTAGGTTGCAAATTGTTGGTTTTATCCCTTACATTGAAACTAATGCAAAACAATCTGCGCACTGTCTGCTTCCATCTCCAGCATACAGTGCTGCTTGAAAGTTTGTGAACCCTTTGTCATTCTTTGAATTTCTACATAATGTGGCCTAAAGTATGATCAGAATTTCGTTTAGTCTTCAAGTCTTAAAATAGACAAAGAGAACCCAGTAAATATATATATATTATCAGTTTATTGAACAAAGTGATCCAGCATTGAACGTCTTTGTTGACTGAAGTATGTGAACCTGTGAGTTTGGTATAGGTGTAATTAGGATCTGGAGGTTCAGTCAGTTGTATGGTCAGGAGTGAGTGTGGCTGACCGTACTCTATTGTAAAAACATCAGGCTGAGTCTTCATCATCAAAGTCTGGCCACATGCATTTGTTAGTGCATGCCCTGTCAGTCAAATGAGATTTCTGAGCACCTCAGGAAATATTTTTTTAATACTCATTAGCCTGGAAGAGGTTCCTAAACTATTTCTTCACTGATCCACTGTCAGTGTACAAATGGAGAAAATTCAACACCTTTGTTACCCTACCTAGAAGTGGTCATCCAACAAAAATGACTCAAAGAGTAAGGCCTGTAATATTCTGGGAGATCACATAGAACCCCAAAGTAATATCTAAGGATCTGCAGGCCTCACTTACACTGGCTTATATCAGTGTACATGAGTCCACCATCAGGCAAACACTGAACAAGAATAGTATGTGTGGAATGATAGCATGGAGAAAGCCAGTTCTCTCCAGGAACAACATTCCTGCCTGTTTAAATTTTCCTGAAGACCACATGGATGAGTCAGAAGACTACTAAATAATGTTATGTGGACAGATAAGGTATGATTTGATATTTATGGCTTAAATTAAGATGCTTTGTTTGGCAAAACCAAACACTGCATTGCAGCATAAGATCCTTATCCCACCTTTGAAACACGATGGTGGCAGTATCACGTTTTGGGGCTCTTTTGCTGCTATTGGACCAGGACAGCTTGTCATCATTTGATGGCGCTTGATGAATTGTTGATTATATCAAGAAATTCTACAGGAGAATGGTAGCACATCCATCCATGAACTGAACCGCAACAGAACGTGGGCCCTGCAGAAAGACGGCACCAAAAACACCAGGTAGTCTGCTTATGCTTCGAATGGTCGAAGCATAAGAAATGTTACACTTTGGAATGGCTAAGTCCAGAACTTAATCCAATAGAAATGTTGAGGCAGAACCTAAGATGTGGTGTTGGTCCAAGAAAGCCCATCAGCATAGTACAGTTGAAGCAGTTCTGTAAGGAGCTACGGGCCAAGATTCATCCAAGTCAATGTGCAGGGCTGATCAACAGGTATAGGAATCATTTGGTTGAAGTCATGGTTGGGACACTGAGGGTCACACCAGTTCCTGAGAGCAGAGGTTCACCTACTTTTGCCAACAAAGACATTTAATGTTAGATTGCTTACTTCAATAAAGGAATGAAAAACAGTATACTTTTAGTGAAAGTTGTTTAATTGGGTTCTCTTTTTCTATTGTTATGAGTTAAATGAAGATCTGATCACATTTTAGGACAAATTTATGAAGAAATGCACAAAATTATAAAGGGTTCACAAAAAGTGCACTGTACATCTACAAACTGATACTGTAGCAGTATCAACCAGCAATCTTGCTTCAAACTGTAGAATTGCTTTTTTGTGAATGCAAAACTGTACAGTTAGCAATACATGAATTATGCTGCAGGTAATTTAGTGTATTATAAACAAATCTATTGTAAACATTCAATAAAAGAAACAAATGTACTGTTGTCACTCTGGCTTAAGTTACTGGTTCTGTAGCAATTTTGTGCCATTCCAGCGCAACACTCCTCAAATGAATTAAATATATGGTAGTGAGTTACTTGTTTTGTTTGTCATAAACACCACAAGTGCTCTGACTAAATGTTAAAAGGCGGTATTACAACCTCTAACATCCAATTACTTTGACTTATTAACCACAATAGCAGATGCTGCAATTTCCTAAACAGATCATAATGCACTTTTAAAGTTTGGTTAATGTGAAACATGTTGTTTACAGCACAGTCTTATAGTCCATCTTCAGTGCACAGTTTCATGTTTTTCCTACTCGATTCACCTGATTCAGCTCAAGAAGAGTTTGATCATTAGCTACTGATGAAGTAGGATAAAAACACAGGCCTATTCAGTGAAGATGGGTCTGGTGGTAGGAAACACTGGTTTGGAACTGGTTTAGAGCACGACCCTGACAATATCAGGTTCTTCAGGTCAGCTTTCTATTGAGACACTTTCTCTATAGTACTTTTCTGCATAGCACGCTGCAGTTTGACACCCCTGTAGCGCATAATAACAATAAAATTACATTTTTTAGGGGTGTTCCAAGAGTTTTGTGTTTAAAGTAAATTTTAGTGAATACATCAGGCTTCATTACATTGTGGATGTGCACAGGTGAAATACGCTTAGACACAGGAGCAAGTATTCTCAACAAAGAGGCAACATGTAGAAACAAAAGTAGCATCAAGAGTCCACAGTGGAATGAAACTCAACATTTTGAGGTCAACATTCTCAACAATTTCAGTATATTTGAGTAATTTATGAAATGATCCAGAAATGGAGAAATTATGAAGCAGCTGTAAATGCTTTCATTACACAAACCTGACGATTTGCCAGCTTCCTATTCGAATTTTCCACTCCACCTTAAATGGTACAGCAGATACATTACAGAATGCAACTGCTACACCATTTAAGGTGGAGTGGAAAATTCAAATAAGAAGTTGATGAACAGGACACCATCTTTAGC